AGAAGTGTGGTCATCCAGCCACACCCACCTTTTGCTTCTTATTCTGTTTACCTTGTTTGTTGTCAAAACACAGGGCTTTTTTTGTAGCAGGAACTCCTTTGCATGTTAGGCCACACACCCCTAATGTAGCTAATCCTAATGAGTTTCTGCTGTTGGGTGTGGCCTATTATGCTAATGAGTTCCTGCTGGGCGTGGCCAACTCAGGAGCCAGCCGGAACTCCGTTCCTGTGCGTTCCTGCCCAAAAATAGCCCTGAGTCCAGGCCACACTTCATGACCAGAGTGCAGCACTGAAATTAGGTACATCAATCACCGCATCAAACCACTGCACCTGTCACACTGGCACAACCATGAACGTCAGAACAGGGTGTAAATCGCCTTGCTTTGCACCGAGCTCCATTTAGTCCTCAGGTGGAAACAGATTCCCTCTGGCAACCTTGCAAGCATGCCAGGGAAATAACTACTCTCTGCTTATCCTATGCACACGGTGCTCATCATTCAAAAATCCACCTTGTGTATTATGGAAGGTGGGGTTAATGAGCAGATAATAAGTGAATGGGCGAGGGGAGCCAAACCCTGCCCCACCCCCCTCCTTACCTTCTTGTACTTCTTTGCTGGAAGCATTTATCTTGCAGCCTGGCTTTGATACTGGGAGTGGGTCAAGCTGGAAGACAAATGCTTGAAAGCAACAGAGTACAGTGAAGTGAGAAAGGGGAGGAGGCAGGGGTCCCGCTCCCCTTACCCACAAGCCCTTTTTACAAAAAACCCAAAAAACCAGAGCCTCCAGTTCCCACTTCACAACATGGAACATATAGGCACACACATCCCTCCCCATCCCGTCTCGGGTAGCCCTCAGGAGCAGGAAATCTCTGAATATGGAGGTTGTCAGTTGTTATTTTTAGCCAAGGAACTGGTAAAAATAAAAGCTTTGAGTCTTGCTTCCGTAATCTGAAGCACAGGACTGGATCAGGTTGTTTTGTAGCAAAGGCGGCTGAAAGACAACTGGAAACCTGTGGGCACTGTTGAGTCACACCACAACCAGGTGCAGAGTAGGGGAGCGCAAACAGACTGGGTGGCTGTGATCATAGTACCATGAGGCCCTCCTTCCTCAAATAACTGCACCACCACTTGAGGAATGATTGACCCTCTTTGTTCAGTTTCCTCTTACAGGTCTTGCCCTTTTGCCCATTGAACTTGGGGATCAGGAGGGTAGTTCTCTTCACTCCCCCCTCATCCTGGATGTCCCAATCTCTCCGTCTCCCCCGTCCACCCCAAGCTTCGCCTGCCCAGGCCCTTACAGCCCTCTCTAACATCCAGAACTGCCCCCCCTGTCTCCACTCAGTCTGCCCCTCCTCCCTACCCCTCTTAACCATACAGGAACACCCTCTCCACTAATAGTGGCTGTTACCAGGGCTATTTTTGGGCAGGAACGCACAGGAACGGAGTTCTGGCTGGCTCCCAAGTTGGCCACGCCCAGCAGGAACGCATTAGCATAATAGGCCACACCCAACAGCAGATACTCATTAGGATTGGCTACATTAGGGGTGTGTGGCCTAACATGCAAAGGAGTTCCTGCTCCAAGAAAGGCCCTGGGTTTTGACAACAAACAAGGTAAAGAGAATAAGAAGCAAAAGGTGGGTGTGGCTGGATGAGCACACTTCTGGTAACATGGGGGTGTGGACTAATGTGCTAATGAGTTTCTGCTGTTGGGTGTGGCCTATTATGCTAATGAGTTCCTGCTGGGCTTTTTCTACAAAAAGAGCCCTGACTGTTACAGTCAGCCTGCCTCCAACCACATGGGTCCTGGGAACCAATCAGTCCACTGGCTTTTGGCTTCTTTTTTTGGCTGCTCACCTCTCTCGCCCTGTCCTGGTCCTGGTGATGGTTCCCTGCATTCTCATCTTGGCAGCCAGCTCTCTTGTTCCACCCAGGAGAGTGTGGCCTGCAACCCCTCCCGAGTACAAAAACCCTTCCGTGAATTTGCTTCACCTAGAATTTGGTGGTGAAGAGGCTGCGGAATTTCTCTAAAGGCAGCAAAGTGATCGCTAAATGGATGGATCCTTGTCATTTTGAACAACTTTATAATGCATTTTTTCCTCTCTCTTTTTTTTTAAAAAAACTCTCCATTTCCTATTAGACTGGCAGTGCTCTCTAAAAGAAAACAATCACAAAGCTTTGGAAGCTGATTGTCAAGTCCTCATCCACTTCTGTGACATTATTGTGTCTATTCAATTTGGGCTTACTTTGCAGTGAATCAGCTCGGTTGTGAGAAGATTCAGCAATGGTCTCTTTCAGGGAAGTAATCTAAAAATTGCCTTTTCAGACAGAATAATTCATACCTGTATAAATGTCGGTTTCTTGGCAATTCTTCTGTGCTGAGGAAATAGCTGGAATAGAATGCACACGTAATATCATTACAGCTTCAGGATTATTTACCTCTATAGAATGATCATTAACATAAAATAGAGGCAGCAAGTCTACAGGTTATACATAGCTCTCTCTGCTCATCTAAAGCCCCAAGTTAAATGTTGGTCTCCAAGTTAAATGTTGACTGTCCCAGTCGTTTTCTCAGAAAGACTCTATCTCAAATTACTGTAAATTATAATTTTGAGACCATGATGGAGAAAGAATCAGAAACAAGGATATAAAATTGAGCTTTACAAAAAATTACATTTTCCACGGCTTGTGGTTTGCACATCTGCATATTATTTATGAAGATCCTTCTGACTAAGATCCTTCACTTTTTTTATAGCAGCTGTCAAAGAAATCGCAGTGCGTTCATGAACTGCAGCTGAACATCTGATATGTTTGTCAAAATGATATGGAAATTGTTAGTTGCATGCAGTTAAATATGCAGAATTAGCTGCTTACATTCTAACTGAGGTTTGCAAACTACTAAAGAATCTCATTCATTCAAGAGCAATAGGAAAAGAGTGATCCACTGTAGAGTCCAATAGGTCTTTTATAAAAACTCAGGGTGAGCCGAAATGCACCCAAAAGTTCCAGAAATTCCATGGGCACTGTCTGGAGCTCCATCCTCCGCCCCCTCGAAAAGAGAACATTGACTTTAGATATGAAAAATCCTCCATATTATTTACAAATGAAAATCTACAAGTTTATGGCTGCAATCCAAAAGTCACTTTTCTGGGAGTAAGCCCCAATGAATAACATAGGGTTGGGCTTTTGGGGGCTCCACCTCTTTTCTTAAAGGCACAGCCCCACCAAGAACTTCTCCTGTAAATGCTTTTTTTCAATTATTTTTTTAAAGGTGTGCACTCCTTTAAGCAGAGTGGGGTGCTGTACTTGACTACTTCCTGCACTGAGCAAGGGGGTTGGATTTGGTAACTTCTAGGATCCCTTCTAATTCTGTGTCAAGAAACTGGTCTCCTTTAAGAGAGTTTTTCTGCTTAAGTGTTAGCTTTCTTGACTATAGAAGTCATCACCCCCACCTGCCGGTTTGTTCTGTTGAGAAATGAACTTATTTATGAATTTATACACACACAATAAATGGACTGTGCACACACTTGTATGCCATGAGCCAAAGAAAGCTGTTTGAATCACCTACTGTGAGACAGAGTTCACATAGGAAAAGCCTGCCTGCATTTTATGTTAATGTAGCTTGCACACATTCAGCTCAAAGGATCATGGGAAGAAGAAGCACATGGTAGCCTTTGTTAGCAGAAAACAACAACTCAGAGAAGAAGATTCCCCCACTACTGCAGAGACGAGATGTCACGTAAAGCATGGACCCACCTGGAGGTTTCACTATAAAAGTAAAGACCCAAACCTTAGGTCTTTGCTAGCCACCCTTTTCTCTACGACCCCTATCTTCTATACCACCTCACGTTAAAATTATAGTTAACCATTTGCTGTAGATAAAGCATTTGGCGTAACAGTTCTCAGAATTGGTTCTTAGACTGGCAGAAGTGATTAACTTGCAGCAGCTGAGAACTGCAAAGTGGTTGGCAGCTTGCAGTTTAGAGCTCTATCCTGGTAACAGCTTTCTCTTGGTGAAATGGTTAAGAACACCTATGTAGAATAGACAGCTTGAGAAGAAGAAGAAGAAGAAGAAGATGAAGTGGAGTAGTAGTAGTAGTAGTTTGGATTTATACCCCACCCTTCACTTGGAGTCTCAGAGCCGCTTACAAACTCCTTTCCCTTCCCTTCCCCACAACAGACACCCTGTGAGGTAGGTAGGGCTGAGAGAGCTCTTTCAAAAACTGCCCTTTCAAGGACAGCTCTTGTCCGAACTATGGCTTGCCCAAGGTCATCCAGCAGCTGCAAGTGGAGGAGTGGGGAATCAAACCTGGTTCTCCCAGATTAGAGTCCACACACTTAACCACTACACCAAACTGGCTCAGAGAGAGAAGAGACTGCTATCGTCACACTCTGGGGCTAAGGTTTGCAGAAGCCTCTATGCTTTGAATTTAAAAGGCTTGATTCCACAACAGCTGAGTCATAATCCTCAGAATTCTGGCTTTTCTTCCTGCACTGAGAACTTCAGCCCCACCAAATACAAATTTGCCCTACTTCTGAGTAGGCCTGTTTAGGATTGCTCCCGGTATAAACTTGTGTTATATAATGTGATCACCATCAAGTGAAGGCCCAGCAGGTATGTCCAAAACAGTCTTGAGTCACAGTCCTCAAGTTACTCCAGAGTATTCTACCTAATCCTAATGGATTCCCAACAGTGTAAAACATTTGACAGCTGTGTCTTCCAATAATCCTGTAACCCACCCCCATTTCCCTGATGGGAGAGGCAGGGTGAGACACAGCCAAGCAGTCCAAGGCTATCTGAGTGCAGATCTCCTTGGTCTCAGTGGGCCACGAAACCAGTTTCCGACTCTGAATCAAGTATGATCAATGGCAGACAAGGCTATCACTAACCTTCAAAAAGCTGGACCCTTCCTAGGCAGGTTTTAAATGTACCCGAACACATGAACACATGAAGCTGCCTTAAACTGAGTCAGACCCTTGGGCCATCAAAGTCAGTATTGCCTACTCAGACTGGCAGCTGCTCAACAGGCTCTCAGGCAGAGGTCTTTCACATCACCTACCCCCTGGTCCTTTTAACTGGAGATGCCGGGGATTGAACCAGGGACCTTCTGCATGTAAAACAGAGACTCTTCCAAGTGAGCCACTGCGCTTCCCCACTTACACTTTATGCCTCTTTTCATCGTATCCCAAAATCTTGGTCACATCCCAGTCGCCAGACGTGACGCTCTGCAACTTATCGCTGCTGCTGTTGGGCTGCCGAGGCAAGAGAGAAAAAGACGGCATTTCAAAAAGGATGCGGCAGGGACGTTCTGATTAGTCACATCACTATGCTTTATCGTCTTTGGAACAGGTTTCTCTACCCCAGTGTGTTACAAAACAAGATGTTAATTTATTATTCCTTCTAGTCCTGACAGGATAAGCTGACTGCGCAAATGGAGCCAAATACATGCTTCAGATAACTATATCCCAGGAGTTCTCAAACATCTTTGTCAGTGTCCGGATGGCAAGACGTGGAACCTGCTTTTACTCCACACACACACCCCGGTTGCCAAGCCACAACAAACGGAGATGAGTTGACCTTCAAAACTCATCCTAGGCTGCGTCTCTCACCTAGAAACTAGAGGAGGTGATCCTGTTCCCCTCCCCACAATAAGCAGAGCAGGCCTACACAACCTGCAAATGGCGAAGATGAATGCAGCCCACCTGGGACCTTTTCTGCATACTCGAGTTGCTCCTGATTTTCTTGGGAGTTGATCCATAAGCACAGGAATTGGTTTGGGCAGGGTTCTTCTGCACATCTGCCCCTGTCTATTTTTACAGTTGAGGGGTTGGTTTATTTTCTTCTGTACATGGCTGATGTCCTCATCAATGCTCCCTCTAAGCTGTGGAGTCTTGTGAGCAAAAAAAAACTACTTTGGGAGCTACTGGCATTGATGTTGTGAGCAAGTGATTTGGCTGCTGCATAAATTGGTTTGCTTTGGAGTCGTCCTTCCTGAGCTAAGACAAAAATGTGTGAGCCAGAGGCTAAAAAAAACTGTGAGCTAGCTCACACTAACTCAGCTTAGAGGGAACACTGGTCATCATTAATATTGTTACTGGTGGTTTCAGATCCCCCCCTTATTTTTTTAAAAAAATAGCCCTAAAATATCAGTATAACACTCTAGTGATGTAATGATAGTTTACGTAGGTTCTCTGAATTCCCAGCTTTCTTTTTCTTTTTTTTAATTAAGTCTTTGTCCCTTTCCCTCTTGGAGATATAAGGGAAAAAACATATCTCCACAGAGGAAGGCACCAGAGACTTACTTTTTAATAAATGAAAGCTGAAAAGTGGGCTGGAGGTTGGTGAGACAAAGAAAACTGACAGAAACATTGCATGTTAGGAAAAAGCCAACTTAAAATCGGCTTCCAGAAAAACATTGGGGTAAAAGTGGTTTCAAAAGAGCAGGGAAAAACCTGGGGTGGGGTGAGCAGAGAAAACTAAAGGCACAAAAATGCATGCAGAAATCAAGAGGTAAACTGAAGCAGTATGGGGCTAGAAATGATGGGGGGGGGGAGAGACCCATGTGGAAAAGCCCTGGGGCTTGGCAAATATTATTCCCTGCTACCAAAAAAAGAAGGAGTAAGGGAGCTGTCCAGCACGCAGCTCATTGTGGCATTTTCTGAGACTTCTTGATAGTCAGCAGAAACATAGCTATAAACATGCTCTATTCTTCCCAGCTCTGGAGCTATTTTGCAGCACCGCAGATTTTTCACAGTAAGAGCTACTACTCTCCACAATGACTAGTTTTTGCTGTGCTTCAGTGTAAATCAACACGTTACACAACCCCTTGGCCTCTTTCTATTAATTTAGAACTTGTTTTGAACATAGTTTCTAAATAGTGGTTAAACCTGACGCCAGTTGCGGACAACAGAGAGGCAAAGGGTGTCAATCGTTGTTACTGAGCGTGCTCTGTTGTAAGTGAGCATGCTCAGTCGCCTTTACCTGCAAAATCTGACCAAGCAGGTGTTTTTCTTGCTATACTGGTTAAAATACACGCCTGTCAAGCTCCATTTCAGCTTGGTGGGTCACCTGCGGTGAAAATCTGATTTAAAGAAATATGCAGCACTCTCTGCTGATCAGAATCAGACACTGCTTCATTGGCCCATTCGAAGTACACATGAACAATGAACTGGGATGGAACAGTGAGGCATCTTGCATCTCCACCCCTTTCATATCCTTAGGAAGGACAGCCTCACTCAGCCGAGAGTGGGGCTCTGCTCACTGAACATAGGTAAATTAGACCTATTTTAAAAATAGTTTCCAACATAAATACAATACACCCAACTAAGACCTCTAAAATGAATATTGAGGCATCAGAAATACAGGAGATCCTGATAAGAACGGTTATTTGGAACAACCCCCCCGGCCCTTCGGCTAAATAACTGACCACAGGGAACCAAACTTTTTGACATGTTTGTCGTCGAGATTCCATGGTAATGGCAGCCTTTGGTGAGGAGATTTTCCCTGAAGGAAATGCTCCCAGAGTTTATCTTGCCAGTTTATCAAGGGGGGCACGGCTTTGTCTTCCCATTTTTGACCTGATGCACGAAAAAGTAAAACTCGATCTCTAGATCTTAACCAGAGTGGCATTTCCTAGCACTACTCTGGATGTGAGATACCTCTAGAGATCAGGGGTCATTTTGTAGAAAAAGAGGTACAGGAGCTCATTAGCAAACTCATTAGCATAACTTATATGCATGTGCCACACACCCTGACATCACCGGAAGTGTGTCAGAAGGCAACACCCACCGCTCAGGCTCCACTGGACTGTTTTGGATTGCTACCTATTGGGGGGGGAAGACGGGATCTGCCCTAACAGAGGAGGGGGAGCTTGTACCTGAAGGCAGCCTGAGGGGGAGCACTCTGCAACTTACCTGGCTGCTTCTTGCTCCTTGTGGCCTGACTGAGGGCTGCTGGGAGCAGGGGGCAGGGCTTATTGCATGTGCCCGCCCCCTGGGCTCCTTACTGCCGGAGCTCCACTCCTGTGCGCTCCCACAGGAAATGACCCCTGCTAGAGACAATGGTGCTCTCTAATCAAAACATCAGTGTGTGTTTATCACCGCTCACCCATATACTCAACAGAAGAAGTACAGGTTTGTCTCACCTGAGAAGACGACATAGAAATGTGATAGAAGCTGCCTCGCCCTCCCTGAGGATACGCTCGGACAAAGAAGAACTTCTTGCCATCTTTGGAGAAGACAGGCTCTTCGTTCTGTGAGTGACAAGCCAACGGAGGTGAATGTTAAGTACAGGAGCTTTGAAAAATAAACCACTCGTGACAGCAGCGATGGGAGTTCCTGTCTTCTGGCAGGGTCACCCCAGGACTCCAATCAGGGACCTTCTAGGAGTACGGTTGCAAGGAACCATGGCAGGTTTTTTCCATCGAGTTCCCTATGCTTTTTAAAATCTATATGAAGCCATTGGGAGGGGTCAAATGGAGATTCGGGCTGAGGTTGCCACCAATATGCAAATGACACTCAGCTCTGTCTCATGTTTTGAGCCAATTCCCGGTTGGCCATGGAAACCATGAATTGGTACCCTGGGATGGATGATGACCAACAAACTGAAAGTTAATCTCAACAAAATGGAGGTGCTTCCAGGGGTGGCGGTGACCCAGGAATTGGGGTGGCTCCTGTTCCGGATGGAGTTGCCCTGCTCCTAAAGGAACAGGTTTGTAGCTTAGGGGTGATGCTGGACCCAGGGCTCCTCTTCGATAAACAGGTGGAGGTGGAGGTCAGGAGCACCTTTCACCAGCTTCAGTCCTTCCTGGTTGAAAGATCTTGCCACTGTTGTGGATCCCCTGGTAATGTCTACATTAGATGACTGCAGCGCACTCTACGTGGGGCCGCCCTTGAAAGAGCGTTGGGAAGCTACCGTTGGTACCAAATGCTGCAGCCAGAACTCGGTCTATGTGGGATTGCCCATAGAATTGATCCAGAAACTTCAGCTGGTTCAACATGCAGCTATGCGTGTCCTGACAAGCAGTGTTCCCTCTAAGCTGATTTAGTGTGAGCTGGCGCACAGTTTTTTAGCCTCCGGCTCACACATTTTTGTCTCACCTCAGGAAGGATGGCTCCAGAGCAAACTACTTTATGCAGTAGCCAAATTGCTTGCTCACAACTTTGGTGCCAGTAGCTCACACAGTAGAATTTCTGCTCACAAGCTTAGAGGGAGCATTGCTGATAAGGACTCTCCAAAGAGCACATATACAACCAGTGCCCTGTCAGCTGCATTGGCTCCCAGTTGAGTATTGGATCAAGTTCAAGGTGATGGTATTAACCTTCAGAGCCCTGTGCGGTCTGGGACCAACAAATCTGCAGGATCGTCTCTCCCAGTATGCCCCCCCCACAAAGTGTCACACTCCGCGGATCAACATCTGCTGGTGGTCCCCAGCCCAAAGGATATCCGCTTAGCCTCAACCAGAGCTGGAGCCCTTTTGACGCTGGCTCCGGCCTGGTGGAACACTCTCCAGAGTGAGATCAGGGCCCTGCGAGCCTTGTTACAGTTCTAAAAGGTAAAGGTTCCCTTGCTCGAAAGCCAGTCGAGTCCGACTCTAGGGTTGCGGTGCTCATCTCCGTTTCAAAGCCGAAGAGCCAGCCCTGTCCGAAGACGTTTCCGTCGTCATGTGGCCGGCATGACTAAACACCAAGGCGCGCGGAACGCTGTTACCTTCCCACCGAAGTGGTACCTATTTATCTCCTTGCAATTTCTTGCTTTCAAACTGCTAGGTTGGCAGGAGCTGGAACTAGAGACGGGAGCTCACTCCGTCATGCGGCATACTCAGGTCTCGAACTGCTGTACTACTGACCTTCCACAGCCTGCAGTTCAGCATCTTAACCACTTGAGCCACCGCAGCTCCTTGTTACAGTTCTACAGGGCCTGTAAAATGGAGTTGTTCTGCCAGGCCTACGGTTGAGGTGGCGGCTGTCCAACCACATTGGCCTCCCCTGCTCTGCCTGATGTCCTTTATCATGTGCTGCTAATTGAGGTCTGCCTCCATGGCCAGGACCTAACTTACTGAGCATTCATACAGGTAGTTTTCTTCTGGAATCTTTATTAATGATGCTGACTGCCATCTGGCTTATTATAGGTTCTACATTTGTAATTACGTTTTAACTGTTTGGATTGTTGGGAATTACCATTGCTAACTATTGTTGTGACCTGCCACGAGCTCCGCGGAGCAGGGGGAGGGTGGGCTATAAATCTAAACAAATAAACAAATTAATAAACTGACATGAACGGGTCACAGGGATCATATCACATCAGTCTTGTTCCACCCAATTCAAAGTGCTGATATTGACCTTTAAAACTCTATGAGCCATGGGGCCAGCATACTGTAAGAGCTGCCTACCACCATACATGCCTACCCAATCACTCTGGTCATCTCCGGAGGCCCTGCTTCAGGTACCCCTGCCATCTGAAGCTAGACGGGTAGCAACTCGAGAAAGGGCCTTCTTGGACATGGCCCCCAAGCTCTGAAACTCCTTCCTTAGGAAGGTTAATCTGTTTCCCTCTACCAGTGTCTTTTGCCAGTGGTTAAGACTTCTGTTTTGTTTTCGCACTGTGCATTCCCTCACTAACTCTCATTGGCCTTCCTTCCTATTCATAAGAACATAAGAGAAGCCAATGTTGGGTCAGGCCAATGGCCCATCCAGTCCAACACTCTGTCACACAGTGGCCAAAAATACCAGGTGCCATCAGGAGGTCCAGCAGTGGGGCCAGGACACTAGAAGCCCTCCCACTGCCCCCCCAAGCACCAAGAATACAGAGCATCACTTTCCCCAGCCTGAGAGTTCCTGTCTATACCTTGTGGCTAATAGCCGCTGATGGACCTCTGCTCCATATGTTTAACCAATTCCCCCTTGAAGCTATCCATGCTTGTAACCGCCACCACCTCCATGGTAGTGAATTCCATGTGTTAAACACTCTTTGGGTGAAGAAGTACTTCCTTTTATCCGTTGTAACCCGACTGCTCAGCAATTTCATTGAGTGCCCACAAGTTCTTATATTGTGAGAAATACAAACATATATCTCTGTGTTTATACGTCTTATTTAATGGCTTTTAAATATTATATGTATGTATGTATGTATGTATTTTTTCATTGCTTTGCTGTTTATTTCCCTGGGAACCCTAAGTTGGTGGGAAATGCCACAGACAAATGTTTTAAATAAATACATAACCCCAGGCCTGTCTGTTTTTTCTCCTTTTTTCATATGTGCATGCGTGCAAGTGTGTGTGCACCTGGAAGTCATGGCGACCTCTGGTGACTGACCCCTACTGGGGGCCTGGGTGATATTCAGAGAGGTGGCTGAATAAAGCCTGCCCCCGCCTTCTCTCCAAGCACTTGCCAGAGTCGACCCTGCTTAGCTTCCAAGATCTGACAAGATCGGGCTTGCCTGGGCTACCCAGGTTAGGGCCCCAGGCCTGTCTTTGGACTCAAGAAATGTTACAGCTCTGACGTGGATGGCCCAGGCTGTCCTGATCTCGGAAGCGAAGCAGGGTCGGCCCTGCTTAGTATTTGGATGGGAGACAGCCCAGGAAGCCCAGGGTTGCTATGCAGAGCCAGGCATTGGCAAATCTCCTCTATTGCCTCTTGCCTTGAAAAGCCTACAGGGTCGCCATAAATTTGCTGAGACTGGGCGGCACTTCCTGCACACAATGTTACTGCTCTTCACTTTGCTCCCGGCCTCCTTACTCTGATTGGTCACCATCCTTTTCTGTCTAGCACACCTGCCTTAATTGCCTTCCACCTGCCGCTGTCACCTACCATTCTGCTCCACTCCTCAGTCAGATGGCTTGGCCCAAAGCCCCTGACTAATAAAAGACCCCCTGCTACAGAACTCCCACCTTCCTTCTAAGCACACTGACTTAGAAGGGTATAATGCCGTTCAGGATTACACCGTCAGTCTAACTAAGCCCCCCAAAGTGAGTGCGTGGCTCAGGCGAGAATGGAACCTGTGAGTTCAGTCCCTCTCCTTAGCCACTGTGCCATACCAGCAATGACAGACAGCCCAACCTCCTCTATCCCCAGTCTGACTCCACCACCATCCGCCACAAAAATAGCACCTCCTGCCTCTCCAATTCTCTGCAAGCTCCAGCTGCAGCTGGCATTGTCAGAAAGGATCTTCATTGCATGGGTTTCAAGATAACTCTGCGTTTAAGTCTCCCTAATTCATGTTGTCACGGTGTGACGAGTCCGCTAATGATTCTCATTCTCTCAGCTTTACTGAAAATTACACGGCATGAATCGCATTACTGAAGAGAAGCCGCGGATTGTGGGGGCAGGCGCCGCAGTCTCTTTAGCCCTTTGAAATCCTCTCCCAAGGGCTCGTAACGTGGAATGGAAGGTGGCCCAACCAAACTGAGCCCTACGCAACTTTTTGTACTCCATGTCCCGACTAGCAAAGATGGTCCCGGTAAGCAACAGCCTAAATCAGGGGTGGCCAAACTTCCTCAACGTAAGAGCCAAATAGAATAAACATCAGATGTTTGAGAGCCACAAGACATGAACAAATATTACCCATGCATTTTTATTTAAAAATATGCAAATTTGCTTTTTTATTAACATTAAATGAGACTGCCAAAAATAAGAACAGAAGGGGTAAAAACAGATACTGATACTGATATTTATTTGTTCAATGGTATTTGTTTGCTAATGATATTTATTTGTCTAAGAGAAAGAGAGAGAGAGAGAGGTGGAAAGAAAGAATGAAAGAGGTGGAAAGAGAGAGAGAGAGAGAGAGAGAGAGAGAGAGAGAGAGAGAGAGAGAGAGAGAGAGAAAGAAAGAACCAAGAGAGCAAATAGATGGGAGAGAGGGGGGACGGAGGGAGGGTGAAAAAGGATGTCTTCCCTTTGCTTCCCCAGCTGCCCTGCCGGGAGCTGCACAATATGTGTGAAAGAGCCGCATGTGGCTCCCAAGCCACAGTTTGGCCACCCCTGGCCTAAATCATTGCCAGCAAAAAGGGAGTCAAATCATTGGACGCTGCCCAAATCAAAAAGCATGGAGAACAAACAGCCCTCTGACACCCAGAACACCCTTTATGGGGGGAGGGGGCTTAGAGGGCGCTCCAACCAACCAGCGGTTAAATGCAGTAGGGTCTCTAGTTCGGGTCAGCATCAATGTTCCCTCTAAGCTGCGAGGTCTTGTGAGCCAGAATTCTCCTTTGTGAGCCGCTGGCATTCAAGTTGTGAGCGGGCAATTTGGCTGCTG